AAATATTAAAATAATGAAAAATAGACTAAATAATTTAGAGGTATTGAAACTTTCAAATAACAAAAATAGGGGTGTTCATATTTAATGTCAAGCCGACCAAACTAACAAAATTGTCTTGACCCAACCCGATTTGGTTTCATTTTTCAACACCACCGGTCAGTTTCGGCTTGTGTAAGTAAATAAACTGACATTTTGGTTCGGTTTCGATTTTCACACATGAAAACCGAACTGAACATGTAAGTTTAAGTAATTAGTCCCTACTCCTTAGTCTTTCCCTAATCCTTATCCTAGTTTTTAGTTAGCTTTAAGTTTAAGTAACATGAAAAAACATTAGCTAAATGGGGAATTGGTTTTGTTTTGGGATTGCTTTTCTTTTTTGAGTTGAAAACTTTATACCAAATAGGAAACACGGGATATGGGGGGAAGTCATACTTTGAGTCAATTTCAAAAACTAATTAAAAATAATAGTATAAAACCCACACCTTATTCGCCCTTTCTTTATTACCTTTTTGGGATCAACAAGCATTGCACACAAGATCCCTAAACCTTTAAACTTACCAAACTTAGAGAAAATTGCTTTCATGGAGTCTTGGACAGTGGACATGTTAGAGAGGTTTTACTCTTTAAGGCTTGCTTTACACCGAATAGGAAACAGAAAACACACATTGGATTCGAGCCTTGAAGTTTTGATTCTCTTCCCATCTTCATTTTCATCATTCTACTTTTCTACTCTCCACTTTCTAGTCTCTACCACCTCAAGCTGCATGTTTGCAAGCCTGCGCAACTCTTTTCTCAAGTCTCAAGCATCACATTCACACGTTAGCATTTTATTTTATTTAATATTTTTTAATGCATGTTAAATGTGTTTAAAATCTATAGAGTATAGACTTGTGTGAAAGAATGGGAGTCTACATATCCTCTCTTTATGCTGTGTGAGGGTTTTTTTCGGTAGAAATGCTTTGTGAGGTTGGTGCTCATTGTTTTTCATTATTTCTTATTACAACTCATTCATCATGAATCTTGAATTGATATGGTAATATTAGAAATAAACATTTAGTAAATAAATATTGATAAACCGACCCAAACCTTCATGTTTGGGTTAGTTTTGCTTCAAGTTCAGTCGGTTTTAGTTTGGTGATTAAGTAACCTGACTAGGTCAGGTCGGTTGAACAAAATGACATAAACTGACCCAACCCAACCCGTGAACACCCCTAAACAAAAATATGTAATAAATTTCAAAATATTTTTGTAATAGATATTAAAAGATAGAATAATAATTATAATTATTGTACTAATAATAAAACCATGAATTCAATTATATCAATTAATACTAGAGAATAATTTTCAGAAAAATAATACTTATTAATAATAGTTTTAAAATCTTTATCTATATCTATTATATATTTATATACACTAAAATTAATATTTATTGTATTTTTGTGATAAATATATTTTAAATAGTTATGTACAAATATTCTTTCATTTTGTTATTTAATAGTAAATGTTCAATAATTATTGAAGATTAAACTATTATTGCATATTACACTATCTATTGATTAATTTAATATATTTTTATTGTATTTTGTAATTGTTGGATTTGTTGTATTTTTATTAGTTATTTATTGTATTTTTGTTATAAATTTATCTTCAATAATTTTAGAGTTCGCTATAAAATAGTTATTGGAGATTAAACGTTATTTATTAGAGATTAGACTATTAATTTATCTGAGTTTAATTATTGTTATTTCTGTTTTATAAAGAATTATTGAAAATAGTATATAAAATATATATAATTATTAATTATTTCAAAAGTTAAAATATAAAAAAATTTGTTTAATCTTATGTGTTTTTATTGTTTCACCTTCTCTTAATAAAAGCCCATGCATTGCACGGGTCCCCACTAATATATAGATTCATCTTTGAGTGATATTTTTTTATGGGCAATCTTTGTAGAAATCAGATTTTGTGCTTATAAAATTAGGCTCACAATGTTCTTATAGCCTTTTCAGCCGTACATTGAAACATCTCTCTATAAATAAAAGGATGCAAATTTGGAGATGTTCCCAATGCACAGTGGTTGTGGAAACAATGTGAGCAGAATTGTTTGGCCATTGAATTCGCCCTCATCTTTGTATTAGTTGGGGATGTTAGTGGAGTGTAGACTTGGTTGAGGCCAACCCTAGCCCAACCATAAGTTCTAAACCCCTAACCCAACCCGACCTGCCCAACCCTAACCCTAACTCTAACTAAATTCCTTCAACCCTAGACTTTGGGTTGGGCCCAACACAACCTTCTTCCCATCCCTTAAAATATCATACAAGCTTCTTAATCTCATATCTTAACTCAACTTTCACTACATATATTAATCCTACGTTTTATTAGTATTTGTTTGTTGATGCTTTTATTGGTTCTTTAAGCTTGGTTTGGAAGGAGTACAATGCAAATATGTACGATGCAAATGCATGCAAAATAGTACAAAATACAAGGTTTTGCACCATGGTTTTCAAAACCGGACCGGACCGGATAGTCAAACTGGAAAAACCGGGAACCAGTTAGGTGACCGGTTCCAATTTTCCTCAAAACCGGACATTTGCAAAAAAATGTTGGTTTGGTCAGCAAATCGCTGATTGGGCGTTCGAACCGTTTAAACCATTCAACGGTTTTGACCATTTTACTTTTTTTTTTATTTTTTTAATTTTTGTGTCAAAATGACCCGAGAATCGGACCCCTGACCGGTTCGTTCTCTGGGTCAGTTTTAAAAACCTTGTTTAGCACTTTACATATTTGTGTTTGTATTCCTTCCAAACTAAGCCTTAGGTTGCGTTTGATTGCAATGCAAATGGAAATATGTATGTTGCATATTTACCCTCCTTTCAGTTCATGAATGCAAACACGGTTTAGATTTAAAACCGTTTTTGCATTCATCCTGTTTGTTTGAAATCGATGCTGTGTAGGCCCCATCATTAAATGCTCGAACTACCTTATGCTCCAATGCCTTAACTTTGGTTAAAAAGTTGATTATCAAAAGAATACAAAATTTTAAACCGTTTTTGTATTCATCTTGTTTGTTTGAAATCGGTGCTAAGTGTGGGCCCTATCATTAAATGCTCAAACTACCTTATGCTCTAATGCCTTAACTTTGGTTAAAAAGTTGATTATCAAAAGAATACAAAATTGTATCCAAAAAATAGGTACAATAATGCTCTCTTTTAGAGTACAAAAATGTCTGAGAATACATTTTTTATCTAATAATTATTACTTTTTTACATGTCAAACCAATGCTCGCAACACAAACAACAGTACATAGATACCCCGGTTTGACATTTGTATTGCAAACAAACGGAACCTTAAGTACAAAATTTAGAAAAAAAAATGTGTTTTAAATGACTATAATTTATTATGAATTATGCCTTATAATAGATCTTTTATGGGTAACAAGGGGTGGCAATGAACATAGAGGAGATAAAGAATAAAATATATTATTAAGGTTTTAGTATTTCCAATTAAGATTAAGTGAAGTGGTTATTTTAAAAGAAATAAATGATAGTATGTAATAGGGGCTATACAACTATCATGCATCTAACCAAGTCAATGTATGATATATCATATATAATATATATTTATATATGATATGCACTATAGAGTTGGATTTAAGTTATCTAAGGGGTCAACTCTAACCCAGCCCAAAGTAATAAATTTTAACCCTAATCTCAACCCAAGCGTCAACCCGACCCAACACAAATCGGGTTGGATTTGGGCCAAGCCGGACCAAGTTGCAGCCTTTGAGGCATATCGCATGCAATCACGTCCCAACAGCACAACTCACAGGGAAAAAAGAATTAACTGGCGCCGAGAACTTCGGGTGACTCACCGCTGGTCCAGGTGGAAGTCAATGGAATGGAGTGGGTGGAAAGGTAGACCAGCTAGATATACAGAGATATTGAGAGAGAGACGCGCTGGATAACTGGGGTCCACATTTACCACATTATTTAATTGTTGTCATAAGTACTGCATCATTTTTCTTTTATTTTTTGTTTTTTGTTTTTTTTTTGTGATCGGCTTTCTTTTTCATCAATCGCTTGAGATAACCCAATCAGTGCTGGGAAGTGGGACCCAATATAGACTTTATTCCAATCTACTGGCTGTCGGAGCTCCGTACCCGATGCTTGCATCATTTTTTTTTATAACATTAATTAATGGATCTTTCTCAAATTTCCTTACAACATCCAACTTCCAACTTGCGTGAGCGTGGAGGTGGAGGAGTTGACGCGGTTCCTTTCTCTGCAATGCCATGCCAATATACGAACGGAACAAATTAACAAAACAATTGCGTTATTGTGTATATTCAAAGCGCACCGGCACCGCTGGGCGCTAGCGTGAGCATCCTTGTTTGATTCTCTTAACCGGCACCCATCAGCATCTCCACGTTTCATTTCATCTTTGCAAGGTACAGTCCACTAAAGCCGGGAAACAGGCAACCAAAAAAGGGTATATTGACTCAAGCAACTGCTGGCGTTTATATAAGCACAAAAAAAAAAAAAAATGAATGAATGAATGAATGAATGGTTTAGGATTATTTTATTCACGACCATGGGCCATGATGGGCCATGGCAATGGCCCATGGGTGTTGTGTTGATTTACCGTGTACAGATTGCAAAACGTAGATTCATAGCAACACTCAAATCACATCACATTGAGATTCCTTTTGGAGGAAGACGGGTACGGGACGTTCACGTAAACGTCTAAGAAGACATTAGCTTCTTCACTGGACCTACCAAACTCCAGATGAGTCCAGTTAAGACTCCAGACTTTAGCTTCTTCACTGGGCCCACCCAACTCCAGATGAGTCCAGTCCATACTCCAGACTTTAGCTTCTTCTGTGGGCCCACCACTCGCCTCCCTTTATTTTAAAATAGAAATAGTGGACCCGAGGCGCACGCTAGAATCCGGCCCTTTTTCAGCTTCAAATGGATTCGTTGTTGACATGTCAGCACAGCAGACAGCAGATGAAAGAAAAAGAGGGGACGAAGACGAACAGCTCTCTTCTCTTCCTACCTCCAGAGTCCAGCTTCTCTCTCTCCAATGGAATTTTTGCAGGGCGCCGGGATCCGCGTCTCTCGATTTCTGCAACAAAATCTATTTATAATCTCACCTCTCTCTCGCGGTTAGCAATCATCGCAACGAATCTCTAGTCCTGTGAGAAATTCAATACCTTCCTTTCTTTTTTTTCTCATTGCTTGTCTTGTGTAAAGTATAATTTATAATTTCACCTAGTTATTCAGCTGTTTGTCTTATCGGTTATTGAATTCTTCGATTACGAAATTCGGTTCCACGGATTTGGTTTTGTTGACATTGACTTAATTATTCATAATTTGTCTTGATTTTTTTTTAACATTCTACGGTTTTAGATTGGGTTGCAGTTTGGATCTTGAGCTCGTAGTTGATCGTGTGATTTTATTGCGTTGAATTCCTGTCGTGTTTGGATTTTTCTTTCTTATATATTAATTTTCTGGTTTCTGTTATCACGGCAGAAATTTTGATAATTCTGGGTCCGTTACTGGTATTTTTGTTAGATTCTTTTTCTCATTGTTGACTCGGTCAGTCAATCTACTTTTCTTCCTTTTGAATGTGAGAAGTGAGAACTGAAGAGGACAAGAAAGTAAGGAAAAGAAGACATAAGAGGTCTTGGTCGTTTGATCGTTTCATATCTTATGCTTGCTTACTTTTTGCTTCAGGCCTCTATTGAATCTAGTTTAATGGAATTGCGAGGCATGGAGGACTAAAGGTGAACAACTTGTGCAAGAAAAAGGAACATCAAAATGGTTCCGCTAGCGGTGCTGCTCAAGCGTGAATTTCGGGAGGAAACGATGCCCACGAAACAGGAACATCAAATGGTTCCGCTAGCGGTGCTGCTCAAGCGTGAATTGTCGAATGAGAAGATCGGAAAGCCAGATATCATACACGGTGAGGCCAATCAAAGTAAGAAGGGGGAGGACTTTACGTTATTGAAGACGGAATGCGAAAGAGTGCCAGGAGACGAGGTTACCACATTCTCAGTCTTCGCGGTATGTTTATTGTCTATATATCTGCTTTTTCGCTTTACCTATCTCTATCCTTTCAGTTTATTTTTATTTATTGTTTAATTTCCTTGCTTTATTGTCTGTATTGCTTATCCCCTTCAGTACCAGCATCCACAAACATCTTTATGTCTTGGGAGGTTCCAAGTAGCAGTTGAGAGATGCATGCATTTTGGAAGGGACACTAGAGTTGTGAGGTTGGGATTTAGTTCGGTGCTTCCATGAAAAGGTGGTTTGGACTATAATGGGTCCACTGCAGGACAAATATAGTACAGGTTTAGGAACCGCAAAGCATCTAATCTGTTTATTTCGGGATGCTTGACAAACCCCATCACCTGATTATGATGTATTTTTAATTAATTAATTATTGCTGAACACATTGTGCACATCTGTGTCATTTAGACTGGAAAAATTGAGCATTTACAAATTAATTAGAATGTCTTTGAAAGGTCATGGGCGCTGTAATGTAGGGGAGCTACTTTCCCTGGGTCACTCAAAAGAATTGATCCACCATTACTCTGCATGTTTAGATTCTCTATTTCTTTATCGAAGACTTCCCTATTTACTTTATACAATCATCTGTTACTGTCGCACATCTGTTGGTTGTTTCAACCACATTACCTGGTTCTGTTTTGCTTGACACACACAAAGAAATATGATATTCATCTCTCTGAAGCCTTGCATGCATTGAGTTATTTCAAGACAACAAAAGGAGTAAAATATCACAGTTGACATTTAATGAAAATTTAATGAGGAAGTTGGTAGAATTAGAAGCAGCCAATTTCAAAGTTGTGGTGGATGTATTCAAATACAAAGATGCTTTTGTTTGTAGGTGTATTTTTGAAGTGATGAGCGTAAACCTCCTATATTTGACTCCAAAAGGATCTTTTTTTGGGGGGATGAGGTTGGGTGGGGGGGAATAAGATCTCATGTGTTCATGGTCAACCATCAAGGAGAATATTCCAGGAGTTTAGAGGCAATTTTATGTACTGGATTAGTGAATTTACTTTACCAATTTTGCAACTTCTGTTTATCTGTTGGTTTGTATGGTTATGGTGCATCTGTTATCCATCTCTCAAACACAGCAATTTATGTTTTAGTATCATAAGAAATTTGTGAAAGGAAAGGTTGACATTAACTCTGTAGTTTTAAATTTCTACTAATTGAAAAAAAAAATCAAACTGTTGTTGTTTTCAGTTCTTTGTCCTCCATGCCTTCCTTCTGGATTTCTTTGGGCACTGTGCATCGAAGTGTCAACTGTTGGTCTATTGCTTAAATTTCTTTTGACGTGTATTTCATTGCATCTTATCTTGTATAAGAGTTTAAACTGCAAGTGCCTCCTGTTGCAATTATACCATTCACCTTTTTTATATTTTTGTATATTGATCAAACTGCCACATATTATTTGCAGATATTTGATGGTCACAATGGGTCTGAAGCTGCTATATATGCTAGGGAGAATTTACTAAACAATGTTTTGGGTGCAATTCCTTCAGATATAAGCAGAGATGAATGGTTAGCAACATTGCCAAGGGCCTTGGTTGCAGGATTTGTTAAAACGGATAAAGGTTTTCAAGAGAAAGGTACCATTAGTGCATTACTGTATTTACTGTATTATTCTATTACCACTACTTGCCAGTAACCAAAGTGCAATTATATTTTTGTCTTTTTATTTGATGAACTCATAGACAGTGTCATTAACTGCATTGGTAGTGAAGTTACAATCACCATCTTGAGGAAGTTTTCATGTTCATATAATGTCATCCACCTTCATGTAATTATCTTTGCAGGTTTGACATGTAGAAGAAAAGGAAATTGCTATAAATGGTACACATACACTGCTATGATACCCCGATACCTGTACTAGGTTCTATATAATGTCAGATACTCTAATTGTAGCATAAATTACATTCCAACACTGTGTTCAGCCATATCCTTTCCATATCTGGGTAACATAGTTTCATTGGTGTTTGTGTAGGACAAATTCATTTTAACAAGGCATCTTGCTAGATTTGAGTTTAGGATGGTTCTAGACCATAGTAGTGAGGATAATACAGGGAGAACCATGGTGAGATTTTTTTTTTTTGGTAATAGTGAGGTGGGTTTTGAGTTTTGTTTTTCTAGGGGAGGGTTAAGAGACTTTACCTGTCCCCTAGCTTCCTTTGTACTCTGTCCCTATTTCATTAATAAAAGGTTCTGTTATTGATAAAAAAAAAAGTGAGAAGGTAGGTGGGTTATGGTCCATTCAAGGGGATGCATGGATTAGTACAAGCACTCCAAACTGATTTATCTAATTTCCTACGATATGATGGCTAAAACTAAGGGAACTGTTTAATGAAGCATTGGTAAATGATGTAATTTTGCATCCTAGATTCTTCTGAATAGTTAATGGACAGGAGGTGGACAGCCTTGTTCAACTTCTTTCCAACTAGACCATTCCAATATCACTTCGAGGAATGGAGACAGGGTTTAGTTGGCTTACCATAATGAGCATGATTCCTTGAGTTGAAACTGAATATCAATCATCACCATATGTCCCCCAAAAAATTACTTTCTTTTAATATGGATTGAGGTTCTCTTAAGACCAACCATAAATCGTCTAATCTCATGGAGGATTATAACAAACATATGCTTTTTGTGTGACTTCCTAGCTGAAAATATCACCTGCTGTTGCATTTCTTTTTCTTTTTCTTTTTAAAGGCATAGAGAATTATCTCCAACATTTTGGGCAATAGTTAGTTTGTTACCCTTCATGGTCTTTTTTGGCCTTGATCAAATCTGGCTGGAAAATAGTTACATTGAGAGGGGTCACACGCTTCTGGATCTCCTTCCTTTTTATATTTCCTATTTGTCAGGGATTGTGTGGATAATAGTCGTATGATTTTTATATTATCCTGCATGCAAGGTGTTCCAGAATATTGTGAGCTTGCTTTGATTTCGGCAATATTAGCTTTTATTTGCATTACAGTTATGAGTGATATCTGCTAATGTAAAATGATCACTTGATTACATTTTCAGCACAAACCTCAGGAACAACTGTCACTTTTGTAATAATAGATGGATGGGTCATAACTGTAGCATCAGTTGGTGATTCTCGTTGCATACTTGAATCTGCTGAAGGTGACATATATTCTTTGTCAGCAGATCATAGGCTAGAATGCAATGAAGAAGAGTAAGTGTAAATTTGATATTTTTGATGTTTTACCCCAAATTTGGTTCTTTCCTTGAAGTTTTACTTGGTACACTTTAACAGGAGGGAGCGTATAACTGCAAGTGGTGGTGAGGTTAGTAGGCTTAGTACTGGTAGTGGTGCTGAGGTATGCTTCTTTGCAAATAACACGTACTACTTTATTATTGTTTTTTAAGTGGCTTATAAAAAATATTGTTTTTAAGTAATTGAATACTAACATATTGTGCAAAATGTCAGTTTGTTGGTTTAATATTTTTTTCCAAGCAGCTGTAGACTCTAGACATTCTTTCTTCCCTGATATTGTTGACTCATTTTTCATTTCCAACTACTAGTATGTCTAGTTCTTCACAATTATCCTTGTAAGACTTGAACTTGGGTTGGGAGAATCAGTGAATCTGGAGATGAGAAAATTGAAAGAGTCCAACCAAATCTTTCCTAGTTTACTTTGTCAAATTGTGAGACCTAAGAACATTTCTCACTACCTCAACTCTTGTCATTTTGGCCTCACCCTCTTCTACAACCATCAACTTGAACTTGATCATTCTTATTGGAAACCAAAACTCAAATTTCTATGGAATTTGACCATGGAGAAATTCGACCTTTGAAAAATGGGAAGATTTTTCATTTCCAAATTGCTATGGGCTCACCACCTTATTTACTCAAATAGCTATAGAATTTTTCATTTCCAACTTGGATCTAGGTATATCCTATTTGAATCCAACCTTTAATAATCAGAAATAAAAATGAGATTAAACCATCGAAGATAAAAGACAGAAAATTTTCATTTCAAGTGCCATAGATGCCAGAGATCTATTCTAGACTATTTACCTAGTTTACAATTACTGTTGAAGGTCCCATGGTCTCTTGTGGTTTCAGAGGCTTTTAGACATCAGACATTATTGCAACATTAATAATACTTTTAGGACTATCATTACCACCTATTGCATTGCAATAGAAGTTGGAAATGTTTTTATGGATGCTTTGAAAGTTATGGTGTCAATATGTCTATAGACTCATCTTGGAATTGCATATGCATAAACAAAGAGATGGAATTGTTGCTAATCCCCTGCAACTGTTTTCTGTCCTTTACTAGCTCATCTTTCTAATATTTTCTTTTGAAGGATCCAATGTTTTATAGATGTACTTTATTTCCCCACCTTTAAGAACGATCATGTTTGACTCAATATTGTTGATCAAAGAAAGATATTTGATTATGCTTCAACTCTAAATTTTCAGATTGGCCCTCTGAGATGTTGGCCAGGTGGTTTATGTCTCTCAAGATCTATTGGAGATATGGATGTTGGCGAGTTTATTGTCCCTGTCCCCTATGTGAAACAAGTGAAGGTTTGTCAACAATGTTCTACATGCACATTAAATTGATAATATTATTTTTAATGTACTCTATTCTTATCCACATTTCATTGGACTGAATTTCTCCCTCTCTCTCTCTCTCACGTGCGCACATCCGCACACACACACAAACACTTCACTCACATATACACACATATGTGCTAACATTCTGGTGGCTGGGGTAGGCAAGGTTGATACAGGCCCATTATAGGGCAAATGGATTACTCCAAAAGAAGGGGCAGAGACAGAAATATTAACAGTAGAATGATGCTACTTGCAAAGTTTCGAAAAGGAAAATAGACACTTGTTATCCCTAAGAACCATCTGAACCTATTTTCTAGTATTAAACAAGGCATGTATTTATAGGATTGTATTGTTTCTTTTTCCCTGTTTATGAGTACCAATTGGAGATTCAAGCTGAAGCCATAAGATCATGAATGAAGGGTCTACAAGGGGATGGGAAAAGGGACAAATACTACAAAAAGGGTTAGGGTTCAGAGTTTTAGGGCTTTATTGAAAGTTGATTGTTAATTCTTTCCATCAAGGTTGAGGGTTAAGTTGATAGGAATTGAAGGGTGATCGTTTATGTTTGTTCTAATTATTTGGATTTTGTGGTTGTGGAGCTCTGTTGGTTTTCTATAGGGGACTGTTCTCTTTAGTTGAAGTTGAAAACTCAGAAGAAAGGAAAGAATAGAAGAAGGGAAGATAAGACAGTTGTTCATTCCTCTCTCAAGCCTAGTGCATGAGGGTGGGCCTTGGTGCGACGGTTGGGTTGCTCCATTGCAACCTAGGTGACCAGGGTCCAAATTTTGGAAACAATCTCTTTGTATGTGCAGGGGTAAGGTTGTGTGCACCTGCCCCTCTCTAGACCCTCATTGGCAGGAGCATTGTGCGTTGTGCTTCCCTTTTAGCATAATTACAAGGATACCCTCAGTAGGGCAGATGACTCAGTAGTATAATGAATAAAACAAATAACAGGCCCATAACTAAGGCCCACTAGCCCTAAAATAAAGAGTACTAAAAGGACAAATAAGGAGAAAAGAATTAAGGTCCATTCAACCCAATGTCTCTATATTCCCCCTCAAGTTAAGCGTAGATGTCAATCATGCCTAACTTGCTTACATAGTGTTGCAACTTTGCCTTAGGAACACTCTTGGTCAAAACATCTGCTAACTGCTCCTCTCTCCCTTATGCGCTTCGTTCTGTCACGCTGAATTGGGTTATAAGCAATGTTAATGACAGCTTAATTGTCACAATATAACACCAAGGGTTTATCATAAACATTGCCCATCTCCTCTAGGAGAAACCTGAGCCATAACAACTCCAAAACTCCATGGGCCATGGTCTTGTACAGTTTTACTTCGCCTCAACTAAAGATCCAGCTACCATAGACTGCTTATTAGTTCTCCAAAAGACAAAATTTCCTACTACCGTAGCACAATAACTAGATGTGGATCTCTTGCCATCTATACTACCAACCCAATTAGCATCTGCATAAGCCTCTAACTTCATGTGTCCGTGCGTAGCAAAGAGGATTGTGTTGTGAGTATGGGGGAGGTTGAAGTTGTTGTTTAGCTGCAGAAAGTTGTGTGGCCAAAGAAGACCTTTTTGGTTTGGATTTTTTGTTGTGTTTTTTGGAAGGGTGTTGGCTTTATTGGTTTGGTTTGAGGTTGGGCTCTTTCGCTGCCTTCTATTGGATGTTTTATTTTTTATTTTTTTGTTTTTTATATTGTTTACTTTTCCTCCTGGGTGATCTCTTATTACCTTCTCATGTACCTTCTATTTCTTACAATTAAAAACATACTGATTAGAGTGAGTGCTTTTCCTACTCCACAAAATAAGAATAGATAAATTCTTACTCTTTATACACAGGTCCATGTCTAGGGTGATGATGTTCTTTTATATGCAGTTGATGGATGGATTTTAATAATTACATAGCCTTATATGGGCACATGTAAAGCAAAGGATAAGAATAGATCTGTTGTCCTACTCTAGAGAGTGGGATCAGTATTCCAGTATTCCTTTACTAATGAATGTCATTTTTTTTTATCTACTAATGAATGATATTGAGAAGGCAAGGTTGCTACATTTTATACATAGTTCCTACATTTTATACATAATTTATTTAGTCTCTACTTATATTTTCTGTGCCATATGTTTTTCTCTCTCAGTATCATCCTATACTGATTGAAAAAAGAAAAGAAAAAGTTGTTACTTCTTTGTTACAGACAGTTCAAGATATCTTGAAAACCTTCACATTCTGTGCATAACCAAAAAAGCTGCTCCACAACTATTTTGCATGGGGATAAGGATCTCTAAATGATGGAATTTGACTAATTTTATATATAAGTTTAGGCTTTGAAATGATTGCAATTTCCAGTTCTTTCACTGATCAGTTTTTGGCACTAGACATTGATTCTGGTCTTGAGATAACCTCAGTTCTAATTTGTGGTCTATGTCAATTAAAAACTATGCATGTATTTGTTGGTACTAAACCCTGGCTTTCATATATTAAATGGTGTATTATCATTATTTCTGCAGCTTTCTACAGCTGGAGGTAGGCTTATCATCTCAAGTGATGGTGTTTGGGATGCTTTGTCATCAGAAATGGCTCTCAATTGTTCCCGTGGGATGCCAGCAGATGCTGCAGCTGCCCAAATTGTCAAAGTACATCTCTCTCTCTCTCTCTCTCTCATGTGCTGATGATTTTTCCATTTTATTGAAATTAGCATTTAACTACAGTCTTTCTTTTTTTAGGAGGCAATACAATTAAAGGGGCTTCGGGATGATACAACATGCATTGTGGTTGATATACTGCCACAGGAGAAGCAAACATCTCTTCCACCACACAAGAAGCAGGGGAAAGGAGTCTTCAAGTCCATGTTCCGCAGAAAGTCAGCTGAGTCAACTTCTTGTTTAGAACCAGATATTGTGGAGGAAATATTTGAGGAAGGATCTGCTATGCTTGCAGAAAGGTTTGTACTCAGTAGGGCATTGTAACTAACTTAAATTGATGTTAAAGTTCAGGTACAAAAGCCATTAGTAGGTGCAATGAAAAAAAAATCAGGCTGACATGCATGAGAATGTGGTATCTAGTCTGAGAGTAGCTATCTCGTACAAAAAAGAAATTAAAGAAACAAAAAGAAGGAAAAAAGAAACAATAACAACAAAGGTTGAGTCCATATACAGTCCACCCCTCCCAAGAGGGATAGCTGGGACCAACATTTGGGTGATGATCCTTTTTTACCCCAAGGCATAAAAAATATGGTCTAGGTTTGTATTGCATGCTCTTTTTTTTTTTTTTTGTTTACTTGTTCATTTATTGTTTTTCTTATATGGATCTCTTTCCTTTGTTGATTCATATGTTTTTCTTTGAACCCATTCTGGATGGTTTGGCTACAGTATAGACAAATGTAACCATCAAAGGCTTGGGTTCTTACCTGGGATGTGTTTGTATGGATTGCAGGTTGGATATTGAATATCCGCTGTGCAACTTGTTCAAGTTGTTCATATGTGCAGTTTGTCAGCTAGAGATGAAACCTGGAGAAGGTATTTCAGTGCACGGAAGTTCATCAAATCCAGGAAAATTGCGTCCATGGGATGGTCCCTTCCTCTGTGAAAGCTGCCAAGCAAAGAAAGAAGCCATGGAAGGAAAAAGACCATCAAGGAGTAGTGCAACTGACTAATCCATCTTCAGCGATAGTCTTGTTGATTTTGCAATTCTTGGCACTAACGATTGTTTCAGAGCTGACCAGATAGAGGAAAGTTGGGGGCCTTGTCCTGGTATTTACTTTGTCCAGTCACACGTATATGTGATTGAACGATAAGCACCAATCTGACATCCCTGTCGGGATTCATTGTACCTGATTATGCTGCTGCTTCAGGACAGGGTAGGGGTTTGAGCTTTTCTGTTTATTTATAAAGCTGTATGCTGAGTTGAGGAATGATGCATCAATTTTGCCTGTTTTCCTAGGTCTTGCAAGAAGGATTGGTGAATTTACCAAGCCTTGGAGGTCTCTAACCCAATTCTTTTCCTTTTGAGATCAATCCATTGTATATGTGTCCATTTTATAGAGCTAGGATTGAATTAAACAGTTTCCTTTGTAACATTACAATACACAGTCGGGTAAAAAATTATACGATTGAATTAATTTAAAAAAGTCTCTGAACTTACTGAGCCTTTCGTGTTTAATGTTATTAATTTGATTCTGATTCATCGAGAAGGCAAATTGAACATTGAGAATAAAGAAAGGAAAATGGTGTATTCTGTAACCTATGTTTTTCAAACCTTTTCGTATATTAAAAAGTTACAAAACAAAGGTACTGCATTTCCTCTTAGGCCCGTTTGTTTCTACCTGTGTTCTTTTCCGTCCACGTAAGCTTTTCTTGGTTCCATTTTTATCCCTTTAGTTTTTTTTGTTTATAGTGTCTGTTTAATAGACATTATTGTCCAATTATATTTTAACAATTTTTCCTCCATGTGGGAAGGAGGGTAAGACTGCACGGGTAATTGCCAAAAACTTGTTTGAGGGAAAGTTGTTTGTTTTACCTGGATCCAACATTAATCAAAAAAAAAAAAAATGAATACAGAAAACTTGACAATTTTCCCATTCACCAAACTCCCCAAAACATACCGATAAATGAAAATAATACCCAAGTTATCATGAACATTCTAAGGTGAGCCCCTGCCTTGTTTGATGTGAAGCATCATAGCAATTATAAATATTTATGGACTCGACAAGATGTTACAAATTGGTAACCAATTCATCAATTCACGTATAGACTCGACTCTGCGGGGTGGGTAGGGGTGAACATTTGGTTTATTCAGTTAGAAACCAAAAATTTTAAAACCAAACTAAAAAAAATAAAAATCAAACTGAAACTGAATTATAGAAAAACCAAAAATTTTGATTTGATTTTCGATTATTTCAGTTAAAACCGAATTTTAATAATATACACTCTATTACATATATAATATATTATATATTATGAAATCAAATTTTATTTGATTATATATAAATATATAATATATAATAATAATTTAATAATAGTAGAAAGTTTGTTTAATTTGGTTAACCAAATTTTTAATTATAAAAATTGAAACCAAAAACCAAATTAACTGAACCGATTTAACTAAAAAACTAAAACCAAAATTTTTTCGATGTTAACGGAATAGTGCTCACCCTAAGGGGTGAGGACTTCAGATGCCGTGGAAGAAAGCTCCTTCAACAGCCTGTGCTGTCTACAATGTTAGTTTCTGTATTTCGGATTTCGGACTGGATGCAACAGTACCAGTGCTGGAAGCATGGCTTTGCAGGCCAACGTATCACATGGAGAGAGACTGCACAGATAAAAGGTTTCTCTTTTCCGAGATGTAGTGTGTTCTTACCACGTAGAGAATAAGAGAAACTGAGAAAGGATTAATATTAATCATTTTATAGGCATGGCAAAACGCCAGCATTGAAGCTGTACCGAACAATTTGACTATGATGCCGTACCGGAAAAACTAATAACCATTTACGTGGTGAACAATCAGGTGGATTTTCATCAAAATTCACGGAGAGTTTTGATTGGTCAAAGCCTTTCCAGCATCATACAATCAGATTTTCTCTTTTGACAATTTTCTCTACGTGAACCCTGTATAACAGATGCAACGAACATACAAGCACAAACCAACGAGCACCAAACGCACAAGGAAAGTGCAAACCAGTGGAACAAAGAACGAGGGATTTCCAGTAGATCGAATGATATCCAAACAATTACAAAGGGAAATTTTTCCCGACTTGAATAAATTGAGGCCAAAGGCAAATTACATAGCATTGTACCAAACCTACATACATACAACAATTGAAACTAAACGAGCAGTAGAAATGATGAATAAGATTAAGAATCGGCTCCGTTTCTGACCTTAGTATACCATATGACTAGATTTTTCCAGTCGATAGTCACCAAACAAAAACGAGGCGAAGGAAATGGTGCGGCCCACATATCAAACCGACCTTTGTCTCTTCTCCATGGGTGCAGACTCGAGCTCTATCCCCCTTTCCAGCTCTCTCACTATCCAGGCATCTTCATTTTTATCATCATCTACAGCAACTGCAACCTTATTTGCAGCTCTTTCAGATTTCCTCTTCTTTATTGCCTCTCTGATCCTATCCTTGTCAAATTTACCAAGGCCCCCATTAACCGAAACAATCTTACAACTCAAAGTCTTATTGGATTCCTCTATCTTTGCCTGAACCTCTCCATCAGACATACATCCATCCTCAACAACACTGTTCATGCTTCCACAATCACTTGTCCGCCATTGTAATGCCTCTTCTTTTCCAGCAACACAGGTGCCTTTCTGGCCATCAAGGTTAGCATCTCCACCAGCCTCTCTATCTGAGCCATTGCTTGAAGCTGAAGCTATGACAGACCCACTTAAAACACATGATTGTGGACTATCAGATACTGCTTTTTCCATGACAACAGTAGTTTGGGTCTCTTTCCCATGAACAGAAGGCATTATTGGTCGTTTGTTCTGTTCCAGCAACACAAGCATCTGCTGGATAACCTCTGAAAGGACAAAAAAAATCATGAGGAATTTCTAGTTATCAAATTTTTCCCTTTGACAAATCAGAAAGACATTACAAATGAAACAGTTATAATGGAGGATGTCCTCTTAAGACTACATAAATTTCACTAGAATTTTGAGTTGAGGGATCAATTTGGGCACATCAAGCATCATCTTCATAATGACAAATATGGATGTTATTTTATAAACTTGTGAAGTTAGAAGTGGAAAAGAACCTTCTAATCGTTGAGGGGAAACATCAAACTCCAACCACCAAACTTTACCCTTTTCTGAGGGCAACTTCACTTTGCTAAATTTAGCAGCAAGGAACATTGAACCAGCTGCAATATAATGGACTTTGTACTGCAAACATAAAGTTGTCCAAAGCCTACACATCCCAACAAATGAATTTTCAGAGATAAAAAATGATGAAGAAGCATACAAGCTGAATTTAAGGCTAGGCAAAAAGTAAAGAACAAGAAATTCAGTGGGCAAGGAAAAGAGAAAGCTTACCAATCATTCACAAAATTCCATGCCACTTTGGCTAGATCATTATGAGAAATCTTCAATCTCTTTAAAGCTGCAACAAGTGGCTTGTATGGAAGTGGGATGTCAAGATCATATGCGATAGTAGCAAGCAAAAGTCTCTCCCCTATTAAAATCAATTCTTTCTGCTTCTCATAAACTTCCTATAATAATAATTATAAGGGGGACTATAAGCCAATCTCAAATTTCATTAGAGAGGCATCCAACAATATAGAAAAACACTCATATGCCATACTTTTTGTTTAATTCTTTGTGCCGCTGCAGGATCCCTTCTATACATGGTTTCATAAGCCACAATAACAACTTCCTTCAGTAAACGTGGTGTTTCTTCCACTTTGCAAGCAAGAAACATGCTCACCGTTGCAATTGTCTGCAAAAATGTGCATTGCTAGATCATTAATCCAACTATTTGAGAAATGATGAATAACCCACTAGTGTATGAGATTAGCTATTTCATTCTACCAGTGGTCCATAATCTGGAATTCTTTTTTTCCCAGGATCTTCTAATCTTATCTAAATTCTTATAAAATCTCATAGTGAAGGAAATTAAAATTTATGATGTGAGAAAGCTACATATTGTAAGTAAAATAGTTATTCACTTTGTTTCTCAGCTTTCTATGTTAATAGTTTAAAAAATATTAAAGTGTTAGGTTTGTAATATATGGTGACCTAATTTTCCACTTGCTGCAGAAACTTAACTAAAGAAGGGTAGCAGCACAGCCATTTTCAGATCCTCTGCAAAACTTTGAAAAGACTAGGCATTCATAGAGTAGAAAAAAGCCATAATTTAGGAGACCTAAATACTTCATAAAGACTCGTTCCTGGACTAGATATGATGAATTTCTTGTCCAAACAGAAAGAAAATCTGGATAGCCATCTAAACAATACAAATCTACTAATCCACCAGAAACTAATAGTCTGGATAACATATAACATAAATAGGGACATTGAACATGACAGACAGCAACAGTTTGATACAGAAAAGATTTTGCAGAAAGAAAAATCCATGATGCTGAAGCCAATTTAGGCGCAACAAGGAAGATGACAATGAAAAAGGTGTGATAGCTATATCAAGATAGCAGCTTTCATAAATATGATCTCATCATCATCACTGAAGCCTTGCCCCCAATATCTAAACTAAATTTTACATACTATTTTGAAGATGTATTATATCTCAAAGGTATTTGAAGCATAAGCCTCAATGTGTCTTGAAACCAGGCATTGCCAAAAGTGTGCCATGCTAATTAGGCATAAATGAAGTACAAGCAAGCGATGCATGTTTCGAAGGCAGATATTCTTTCCTCATGAGCATTTCATATGGCTTTAAGAGAAAGAAGTTTCAAGAAAGAATAATGTTAACATCCATTTTATCCTTGTAACCTTTCGATTTAAGTACTGCTGGTGTACAAGGTAAACCATGCTTACCAAATAATACAGAATAAACACTCAATATATTTTATTGCTATATTTGTTACAAAATAAGTGTTGTCTAAACCTATGCATCACATTTTGATCAAGTGAAGCAACTTTCTATGAGTTTAAAAAAAAAAAAAAAAAAACTATCCTATGATGCAGGTGCCTGGCTGATTTTCCACAGCCTATGTTTTCTCACAGTTATTTCTCAGTTTGAAACCAATAGAATGTTCATACCTAAATCATTTATTCATCATAGCTATTTTATGAAGTAAAATGTGACTGTTCCTAAAAACACAAAATTCAGTTTAGGAAGACTGCAAATACAAATATGTACAGTACAAATACAAGGTTTAGAAATACAATGTATAAGGTTTTGCACTGTACATATTTGTATTTGTACTCTTCCCAAACCGAGCCTAAGGTCCTAAGTCCTAACCACAAACAACTGCACAAGAAATTGTAAGAGCAAAAATATAGCACAAACCTGCCATTCATTTTTTGCATGAGATTGGCGCAGATAAAATCGATGGCACAACATCAAAGCTGCTGCAATTGTTAACTGTGGTCTGCAATATAAAGAATCATTTATCAGTTTGTTCATTGCATAAACAGCGTGAATACTAACTAAGAAACAAGTTCAAGTATGATGGAGAATGTTTGCTTCAAAGAGCAAGTAACATAAGATAATTACAGTCAGATGGCTGTAGACAATTACCCTAGACATTTTTGGAAAACTCAGAGTGTTCTTGGAAGAAATACATCATTTTACATTCCTAGAATGCAGATGACCAAACATTGCTCAACAAAATTTTTAAATTTTATGGAATAAATCAAGGGTACATTATTACACAACCCAGTAGGCCAGTACAACCCAACTAAGCCTTAACCAACTACTTTTGCTCGGTCACATGAATCCTCCTATACTGCCATCCAAGTTTTTTTCTTTTTTTTTTTGTAAGGTGATTGTAATTCATTACTGATGTAAATATAAATAAAATAAAGATGCAGAGGAAGAGGGTTCCTCCATGGTCTACTGGGGACAACAACTAAAAGCAGCCATTACAGAGAAAAACTATCATCCAATACGATAGAAACCAATGATACAAGAAATGTTTCAATTTGAAACCCTTAAAGAGGTTGTTGATCAAGGCTCAGTTCAAGAGTTCTTTCAAACTTTCTGCACAACTTCTCAATAGGTGGCATTTGTCTTCAAAAGTGTGGGCATTCCTTCAAAATAGAGGTCTATTGGATGAGGAAACTCTTTGCTTTGGCTATGATTGTCACTCTTGGACCTACTTTTCTATTAAATATCCTGTCCTTTCAGGCTTCCTCCTTGTTCTCTCGGAGCATTCAATTTACATGGGTTGATCTAATCCCATGTGTCACTTTTCCTTTTTTTTTTAGTTAAATCAAAGTTAGATTACTTTCTTTAAAAGATTATAGTCCAGAACAAAAATAAAGTAGCCACCATCATAAGCCATGATTGTCTCTCTTGGACTTACTTTTCTATCAAATATCCTGTCCTATCACTCTTCCTCCCTGTTCCCTTGGAACATTCAATTTACACGGGTTGATCTAATCCCATGCATCACTGTTCCTTTTTTCTAGTTAAATCAAAGTTAGATTACTTTCTTTAAAAGATTGTAGTCCAGAACAAAAATAAAGTAGCCACCATCATAAGTTAGGACAATCAATAGTAAAACTTTACCAATCCAAGTTGAAAATAAACCCCACCCTCTTATTAGAAGGTATTAATGGCAGCGAACAGACCGAGTACAATCAAAAGGACAACATATAGTTGACATGGCATCACAGAGGCTACAAAAATGTGTAAGCTCAACAGCTGAATCAGGGGACCAGGATCGCCCCATACGAGATCCAATCTACCCACACAATCTCTAGCAAGAGAGATTGTTGGGGAACAAGCTAAAAGACTTTTCTTCTCTGAGCAGAAATCTTGGAGAAAGGCCCATCCTCAGAAGATGATATCCATCATATTACCACTTGATAATCCTCTATGACAAGATTGTTCCAGCCTGAAAAAGTATGCTATCTTGAGGACTGAGGCCTTGAACAAGCAGTTCAGCTCTTAAAGAATTCCCTCACAAATGAAACTCCAGTACTATTAAATTTGAATATTAGGAGGTCTGCTAACGGTTTGGCAAATGGATTAGCTAAGCAAGGAATACATAGACATCATTTGTTTTGGGCTCAATGTTAATAGGGTGGAGGCAAAGGGATTTTCTCCTAACTTCTTATTGTATTCTCTTTTTTTTCTTTAAGCCTTAATAAAATTTCTTGAGTTCCAGATAAAAAAAAAGTATTATTAAACTTGAATTCCACTTTGATAGTTTAAATTTCATGTAGAAGTATGCCTAGATCTTCAGAACAGCCTGCATTGAGGTTTGGGGGAACCGATTGAAAACAGGAAAATAAGTTCTCAGGCATCTTCTACAACTTGTAGTTAGGGACTTGGAGTAAACCTATGATGCCAGAAAGGTATGATACCAGAAGAGCTTTGACCAACCCACTGTGAATTTTGATGAATACCACCTGATTGGATATCATTTTTATGATACCGGTTGATTGGTTATAAGTTTTCTGGTATCATCTCTTTCCGGTATCACAGTCAAACCCCTTATAGTTATTCATAAACAAAAACATATTTTACAACATGCAATTGAGCCATGAAAAAATATTCAAGCACAACAAAAGATGTAATACTGAGCCAGGATACATAGAGACAATCACAAAGACATAGTTCAAATAAAAGTAAATATGAGATAAGGGCTTACACTTTAAGCTTCTTGCCCAAATCATGAATAAATGAACAGTATAGTTTCCTTAGCTGTGCCTCTTTCTTAAAGTCAATACCGTCCTTCCTAGATGGGGAATTGTCTTCTAATTCTTGTCTGGTGAAGTACCATCTAGGCACACTGCACTCAGGCACTTCAAGTGTGTTCCATGAAATCATATAAGCTCCACCTCTTGTAATCCCATGCTGAGAAGGATCCCCTGGCAGGTGTCCTGCCATGGTCACCTTCTCTTCTCAGTAGAAGAAATGAAGAGAATATAATTATCTCAAGTCGAACCTGCTTATTTAGGAGATGTTTGCAAGGGACCAGCCAACTTCCTAGAAAAGGGAGGGGAAAGAATGTTACAAGTTATAGATAGAGATTTTGATGCACTTAGACCAGAAAGAACAACATAAGCAATAATATATCTTTGAGAATAGATAGATAAAAATTTAAATAAAACAATATATATATATACAAAGAATTAGATCATATGATGGTCTATACTCATTATGGTATTCTTAACAGAACAACCAAACAGTTGAACAGAATCTCCAGCATAGTTGCATGTACATTTAGAGAACCATTGAGACCTCTCTGGAACTACTGAACTTTATATTTTAAGGGGACCCCTCCCTCTTGAATTGGAATTGAATAGGACTTCAGAGGTTCAACAAAGAGAGTTAGAAGCTCCCTTCTCAGAGGAAGAGATCTAGCAAGTGATAAAAAACTTGTTAGTTGATAAATCTCCAGGGCCGGATGGGCTCACAAACCTATTCTATAAAAAGTGCTGGGAGATGGTAAAAGTTGATCTCTTGAAAGATTTTCAGGAATTCCATTCAAATGGTACTCTTGAAAGAAGGCTAAATGCTACTTTTATTTCTTTAATCCCAAAGGTGGAGGAACCTACAAATATAAAGGACTTCAGACCAATAAGTCTGTTAAACAGCTTTTACAAAATCTTAGCCAAGGGTCCTAGTTGAGAGGATGAAGAAGGTCCTGAACTCAATGATTGCAAAAAATCAGTTTGCTTTTGCGCCAGGAAGACAAATGTTGGATAGTGTCTTGGTGGCTAATGAGCTGATTGATTCAAATCAAGGCAAAGGAAAGAAAAACCTAGGCTGATTTGTAAACTGGACCTGGAAAAGGCCTACAATCACATTAATTGGAGACGTTTGGACTTTGTATTGGAAAGAAAGAATTTTGGGCAAAGATGGAGGAATTGGATAAGGCTATATTTGGTTTGAACTTTGAAGGAAAAGGCATGGAAAGGAAGGGAAACCTTTACAAACCTTGTAAAGGATTCCCTACCTTTCCATGTTTTTTCCTTAAAATCAAACACAGCCTAAAGGTATGCATCACTTCTCCTAAATTTTCAGTCCTAGTGAATGGTCAATCGGCTAGTTTCTTTAAGAGCTCTAGAGGTCTTCAACAAGGAGACCCCCTATCCCCTCTCCTGTTTATTTGTGTGATGGAATTATTAACAGCCTTTGTGGGCCGGGTGGGAAATGAGGGTCTGTCATCTGTGGCAAGGCTTTGAAACTACCCCGGGGGGGGGAGGGTTCCAATTGCTCCAATTTGCGGATGACACCCTCTGCTTCATTGATGCTGATGTTGAACAGTTGGGTGTGCTCTTTGGGGTTCTTTGCTGGTTTGAGGTAGTTCCAAGTCTAAAAGTCAACTGGGCCAAAAGTAGACTAATTCCAGTGGGAAATGTAGAAAATATTCAAGAGTTAGCTGAGGTTCTAGCCTCTCAAGTTGGTTTCCTGCCAACTATTTTCCTGGGGCTTCCTTTGGGAGCTAAATGCACATCAGCTTTAGTGTGGGAGACAGTGCTGGAGATATTAGAAAAGAAGTTGGCTTCATGGAAATCAAAATATCTATCCTTAGGTGGAAGAACTACTCTTCTAAAAAGTTCTTTATCAAATCTGCCCTCCTACTTCCTGTCTCTCTTCCCAATGTCAAGGAAAGTGGCCCAAAAAGTGGTAAAACTGCAGAGAGATTTCCTGTGGGAAAGGGTAGGAGGAGGAGGAGAAGAAGATTCACCTAGTTAGTTGGGATTAGGTTTGTGACCCTAAAAGAAAAGGAGGTCTCGCCGTCTTGGGGTTAGGAAAATGAAGGTTGTTAATAAGGCTCTTCTAGGCAAATGGATCTGGAGATTTGGTAAAGAAAGAGGGAGTTGGTGGAGAAGTTTGGTTGCAGCCAAATACAACACAGACTATGGGGATTGGGTGACAAATGCCTCGGTGACCTCTCTGGGGTGCTCCATCTGGAAGGCAACCATGGAAGCCTTCCCCCTGATAAATAGGGGTCTTTCGGTTAAGCTGGGAAATGGTTAGAGGGTAAAGTTTTGGAAATCTTTAGCTGAGTTGTTTCCTCAGTTGTACCAAATTGCAGAGAATCAAGATAGCTTGGTGGCTGACTGCTGTGAGATCCGGGGCAACATCCAGGTATGGTTCCCTTCTTTTAGGAGAAACTTTTAGGATTAGGAACTGGACCTTGTTTCTAATTTGTTGGAATTGTTGTCCAACCAGAACCTGAACCAGATGGAAGAAGATACCTGGTATTGGAATTGGAGTACTGATGGTGTATTCTCTTCTAACTCTTTTGCCGGGTACCTAGTAAGTGGCTCTCAAGCTGAATTTCCTGCTGATAAAGTCTGGTGTATTCTCTGCTAACTCTTTTCCTGCGGAAAGAAACAGCAGAATCTTCAAGAATAAGCATAATGGAGTGGATCAACTAATCTCCTTCACTTTTGGGAAGTTAGTCTCTTGGACTGCTGCTGTGAAAGGGGTTCAACCAAGGGTCTTGGGTGGCCAGCTGTTGGCTGGTAATATTGTTATGGACGCCTTCCTCGGGAAGACATACCATCGCCGCCGGCAGCAACAGGCCCCGGGCCCACCGCCAGCAGCAGCAAGGATTCAGTGATGCTCATCCTACCCAGTTCGGCAACAGCAGCCTTATCTAGATTAGATTAGCTCATTTTGCTTGTTCTTATCTCTTATCTTATCTTGTTAATAGCTTATCAG